AGGCCTGCTCTTCAACAAGCGCAAGATCCATCGCTCCTATGTCGGACTTTGATTCAGACAACCCACCTCCATCCCCTTCTCCACCATTGTAGTAAGCTCATCCGACTCCTCCTCGATGCTCCTTCAACCTCACCTCTAGCGTGTACTCCCTCCAGACTTTCATGGAGTTCCCTGTCACTTTAAACGGTCCGGCAGAAGACCGCCACGTTGAGCCTGGTTCTGCCAGAGATTTCTTCCCAAAGGGGAGTTTTTTCTCTCCACAGTCGCTTCATGCTTGCTCTTCATGGACAGTTTATGCAATCTTTGTTCATTCAGTGACATCTAACTCAAGCATCACCCTGTATACCAGCCTCTACGGATTAACCAAACTTCACCTATCTAAACTCCACCACCAGTTTCAGGCCCGGGGGGAATATCCTTATTCTCATACATCAGTTTATCTGCATTAAAGTATAAACCAGCGTTTATGTTTCCTGCCGAGGCCTGAGCGCCAAAGCTCAAACTATTGTATCAATAAACTCTTCTAATTGCATCTTTCTCTCTCTGTGAGTTTTTCAGATTGAATTTCCCCAATTCCTTTTTTTCATGGCTATGATGTCTAATGCAATGAGAGGAAATAACCCTTTCAACAAAATAACCAGTTTGTGAAGGGGAATAAATTAAACAGCTGTTCTTTACAATGTTGGTTAATACATTGGAAAAAGAGTATATATTTGTTAAAATGTATCACTGCATTATCTGATAAGGATCTGGTAAAGTAAAAGCAAACTATTTTAAATTAAACCTAAACTTTATTAAAAGCTGTTTATACAGGGTTGTGAAGAAGGAGAGTTATTTCATTACAATTTTCCATATGTCAGGGCAAGGTCCAAAACCTGAAGATGAGAATTTGTGAAACTTTGCATATTTTCAATAAAGCCAATCATCTCTAACATAGCATTAAACGCTGCATTTAAGCTGTAACTTTCAATGTACTGTATTCTGTAAAAATGTTAAAATCCCCATCTGCAATGACATAGTCAGTATTTAACACAAAATCAGCAAATCTAAAAAAAATTGTCTAAAAATTGAAAGAAGAGGCTTGGTGGGTGATACAAATTACAAACAACAGTGGTTTTGGTGGTTTAAAATTTCAATGAGCTGAACTAAGTGTTAAATGTTCAGGAGTTATTATTACTAAATTGGTTTTGGAATAATCATTTAATCAGAATGAAAGATTGGTGCTACCCCTCCTCAGAGGTATTGGGCATATGACAATTTAAATAACCAGGAGTTTACTCATTTAGCATAAGTCTCTTCCTGCTGTCCTGTTACTGTCAATAATTTTCATCAAACTAATAAACACTGAATTAATAATGATCAAACTCTTTGAGAAAGAGATTATATGTTCAATAAACCACATATTAGTGTTTTATTTTTCTGCCAAATTTGAGGCAAATTCATTTAAATGAAATTATCAATATTACTTCCTTTAAGATTATTTTCTAATGTATTTAAGTTTGCCATTAGACAAAACACTGTCTAAATTGGGTAATTGCAGCTTAACAATAGAAAAGCTCTAGAGAGGTGCGATAAAAACAACTGCTTCCTAGTCGCAACTAGTGTTGCACCAATACCGATACCAGTATCAGACAGGGCCCCGATACTGCCCTAAAATGGTGGTATCGGTATTGGCGAGTACCAACAAATCGGGCACCGATACCATTTTGAGAGCCATAAGTTTATTCAACTATTGTCACCCATTCCAGGTAGGCAATAAAAACTTTTTATTTTTATTATCCAGTAGAACTTTTTAATAAAAAGTTCTACTGGATTCACTTTGTATTAGATTTTTTCCTGCTTCACAAAGGTAGGCAGCAGCTTGACAAAGCCATGATGGCAATTATTTTACAATACTGCACAGCCAGGTACAGGTGCTGGTCATAAAATTAGAATATCATGAAAAAGTAGATTGATTTCAGTAATTCCATTTAAAAAGTGAAACTTGTATATTATATTCATACATTACATACAAACTCATATATTTCAGATGTTTATTTTGTTTAATTTTGATGATTACAAATGACAACAAATGAAAATCTCAAATTCATCATATCAGAAAATTAGAATATTGTGAAAAGGTTCAAAATTGATGGCCCCTGGTGCCACACTCTAATCAGCTAATTAACTCAAACCACCTGCAAAAGCCTTTAAATGGTCTTTCAGTCTAGTTCTATAGGCTACACAATCATGGGGAAGACTGCTGACTTGACAGTTGTCCAAAAGACGACCATCGACACCTTGCACAAGGAGGGCAAGACACAAAAGGTCATCGCTAAAGAGGCTGGCTGTTCACAGAGCTCAGTGTCCAAGCACATTAATAGAGAGGCGAAGGGAAGGAAAAGATGTGGTCGAAAAAAGTGTACAAGCAAGAGAGATAACCGCACCCTGGAGAGGATTGTGAAACAAAACCCATTCAAAAATGTGGGGGAGATTCACAAAGAGTGGACTGCAGCTGGAGTGAGTGCTTCAAGAACCACCACACACAGACGTATGAAAGACATGGGTTTCTGCTGTCGCATTCCTTGTGTCAAGCCACTCTTGAACCACAGACAGCGTCAGAAGCGTCTTGCCTGGGCTAAAGAGAAACAGGACTGGACTGCTGGTGAGTGGTCCAAAGTCATGTTCTCTGATGAAAGTAAATTTTGCATTTCCTTTGGAAATCAAGGTCCCAGAGTCTGGAGGAAAAGAAGAGAGGCACTTCATCCACGTTGCTTGAAGTCCAGTGTAAAGTTTCCACAGTCAGTGATGGTTTGGGGTGCCATGTCATCTGCTGGTGTTGGTCCATTGTGTTTTCTGAGGTCCAGGGTCAACGCAGCCACATACCAGGAAGTTTTAGAGCACTTCATGCTTCCTGCAGCTGACCAACTTTTTGGAGATGCAGATTTCATTTTCCAACAGGACTTGGCACCTGCACACAGTGCCAAAGCTACCAGTACCTGGTTGAAGGACCATGGTATCCCTGTTCTTAATTGGCCAGCAAACTCTCCTGACCTTAACCCCATAGAAAATCTATGGGGTATTGTGAAGAAGAAGATGCAATACACCAGACCCAACAATTCAGAAGAGCTAAAAGCCACTATTAGAGCAACCTGGGCTATCATAACACCTGAGCAGTGCCACAGACTGATCGACTCCATGCCACGCCGCATTGCTGCAGTAATACAGGCCAAAGGAGGCCCAACTAAATACTGAGTGCTGTACATGCTCATACTTTTCATGTTCATACTTTTCAGTTGGCCAACATTTCTATAAATCCTTTGTTTTTATTGGTCTTCAGTAATATTCTAATTTTCTGATATGATGAATTTGAGATTTTCATTTGTTGTCATTTGTAATCATCAAAATTAAACAAAATAAACATCTGAAATATATGAGTTTGTATGTAATGTATGAATATAATATACAAGTTTCACTTTTTAAATGGAATTACTGAAATCAATCTACTTTTTCATGATATTCTAATTTTATGACCAGCACCTGTACACTAGTCGCAACCCTGAGCTGCAAGAGTTTCCTTCATTCAGATTCTGAATGAGAGCAACTCAAGAAATATATCATCCTCAATATCAATTTTTTCAAACGATAAAACATCCAAGGTCATAAAATCAGAGGCGTAGCCAGAACATTTTTATAAGGGTGGCCAGGCAATAACCAATGTACACTAAGGGGGTGGCAGAAAGTGGATAGGCACCAGAACCTCAGGGTCAATCTACAACAGGAAAATTAATGGGCACAACATCCATATTTATAATAAAGACAAACTAGACTTTCCTACAACCTTTGCTGACACATAGATGCATACATATTGAAACATCTGTGCTTTCTAGATAAAAGGTATAGTGGATACAATTCTTTTAGGTTTGAGTTCTGGGGCAAACATCTTTTTCATTATCATTACTCACCTACTTTTATCAAGAATAATTCAGCATAAAATTGATATTTACAAGTACTAATATCTACATAAATTAATTTGTTAATACATTTTATTAAAATAGTTATTCATCAATAATTTAACTGATGACTCTTAGATGACCTGCAAAGACACATAATTTCCCTTTATTACATATAACACAAAATCTAGTTCTGAAAAGAGCATTAATTCTGTACTTATCATCTTTAATGTTAGTATACTGATGTGCATAATTAAACACAGTGTTTTTGTTGTCAAGTAATTGTTAATACATGAAAAACTAAAATGTTTTAAATATTCCACTTATCACTGCTGCCACCATCTGTATTTGAGGGAAAAATATGTTAGGGGTGGCCAATGAGTGGCTAAAGGTGGCCATGGCCACCCTTGGCCCCCCATCTAGCTCCGCCCCTGCATAAAGTGTAAGCAAAATCGAGTCAAAAAGTTGCATTTAATTTTTTTTTTACTATTTATTTATTAATGCTTAATTCATATAAATGCATTTGTGTCATATATATATAAATGGTATTCATACACATTTACTGTAAATCTAGTACGCACCACAAGTTGCGCAAAGCGCGCTCACGACACGAGGCGCGCAGAGATACTTTATGTTGCTTGACTGAAGCATCCCAGTTTCATTTACCCCGGAGATCACAGCCACACTCGGAGCTCACTATACACTCCTCTAAGGCGCACTGTGGAATTATGGACATAAACTTTCCTTATTTAACTTTGGCTGCCAAGTCTAACCAGATTTAACTAGAATAGCGTAAAAGTATTCCAGTTTGGCTGCACTTTCTATGAAAATGCTGAAATAATAAAACAATGCAGGTGGAACAATTGTGTTGATTCGGGCTGGATCCCTCTGAGCAAAACTGGATTCCTGGAGGCGCGTAAAAATACCTTGATGAAAGAGGACTTTTATTTTATTTCATTTTTTTACTTTTATCAGAACTTTTTTTTTTTTCTTTTTCCTGGGAGTCTCTTGCTTGGAAAAGTACCACTTTTGTCACCCAAGGTGACTGCCCCAGGACAACACTTCATTTAGGACCCTTTATATTTTCTGAACACTAAATTTCCTTAACAAACGTTTTGAAGGCGGTCTATTCTTTCGAGGGATGATTGAAAGCTTTGAGGATCAGGGAGCGACAGTCCGGCTCCTCATCCAGCTCATGCAGCGGATCTAAGAGGAGATGAAAGCCGCAGTCTATCACCTCCTGCTCGGCTATTTCTGCCTTTTACGCACCACTGCTGAGGTTAGGCTTCATTAAAAAACAAATGTTTGAATAAAATCCAAACTCATCTTCATGTTACAGTTCCTGAATTCACACCTTTTAAGACTGTATGATGCTTGTTTGGTGAATATTTTCTCTTGCGTCCTGCGAATTTAAAGTAAGTTGTGAAAAACTGTATGTGTGCAGGAGCCTCCTGTCCCTCAGGAGCTGCTGGAGCGACTCTCTCGCAGCGAGTTCCGCAGCATCAGCGACCTCCAGCGGCTGCTACAGATAGACTCCGTAGGTAAAGCACTTGATTGCACCATCTCAATAGTTTACTATAAAATAAACCATATATGTACTCAGCTTAGTGCTACCTTTTTGTGTGCAGCTACAAAACTGAATAAGTGATTGATTTTATTCTGTTAAAACAAATGAAGTGTGTTGAAAGAAACATTTTAATAAAACTTAATGGAGAAATAGCCTCTGGATGTTAATTTTATAACAGATCCTTGCTGTGTAGATGTTAAAGATGGCTGGCTCTAGCTTATGTCAACTACTTAGTAGGAAAAAAGGAACAAGTTCTGTACTGGAACCAAAGTCACCAACATATCTGACCAATATTTGGATTATAAATAGATGCTTCAACTGCACAATTTATTAAAGGCATAGTTTAATTTGTTAATTAGTTTGGGATATGATGAAAAGCAATTCAGCCTTGGGTTGATTTAAGACGAAAAGGTTGGGTTAAAGGTTTGACTCACCATCAAGGGTTAAAATGACTTGTGGCCATTATTCATACTAAATAATATGTAGAAAAATGCACTCTAAATATAACTATTAAATTTGAAATATTTGAATTTGAAAATTTTGTAACAAATAAATTTTTCTGGATAGTAAAGATTAATTACATTAAACATGTTCATTCTTGTTTACATCTTTTAACCATAGAACATCTATTTAATAGCGTAAAAATATAACAGATTTTTCCTGCACTATAGCATAAATAAAAGAAAGTAATAGGTTTTGTCTTTTTAAATCACATCTTTCTTTTTTGACACTATAGGAGTCCCACAAGGCTCCAGCCTTGGACTACATTTGATCTAACCGGTTATTAACAAGGTTTAAAACAATGATTTAAAACAAAAACACAGTCCATGATGCTGAAGAGGTTTTATTATTTTCAAGTTGTGGAGTAGAGACTGTTAGTTAAATTAATAAGATGAGAAAAAAGAAAAGAAAACCCTACAACATAAAATGGCCTTTGCAGTGCTTTGAAATTTTGTTCATCTTAGATAGTTTGGAGTTTTTTTTTGTGAAATGTAGCCAACTCCTTTTTATTATTACTAAATGTCTTTTGGTGCAGACCGGTGCCACCATTAATCCTGGCATCATTGAGATGCAAATTTAGAGTGTGACAGTTCCCCAGGCTCAGTGGGGGTCAAGTGGCTCACTTCATTATACTGTTGTCATGCTGCCCATTATTAGCTTGAGAGGAGGGCTCGCTGCAAGGCTGCTGCGTTGCTATGTATAATTCATGCTGAAATTCCTGCATGTCAGGCCACAAGAGGAGAACCATGCAGATGGAGAGAGGGAGATGGTCGGAGGTGGACTTTGTTGTGTCAACCAGCACATTGTGTCACACTGTCAGGCGTGCATATGTGAATATTTGCACAGACTCAAAAAATAAAATGCAACACTGCATAAAACGGTTAGAATAAATGAGAAATGGCTCCATAAAAACAAAAAGATCTAAACTATACATTCTTTACGGATATAACTTTAAAACTGCCTTGGGGATGTTCTTTTTTATTTTGAAAATGTAGACCATGATGTTTCTGAACATAATAATAATAATAATAATAATAATAATTATTATTATTATTATAATAATGGAACTTTATTGATCTCACATTGGAGACATTTATCTCTGCATTTAACCCATCCCCTTGGGGAGCAGTGGGCTGCCATCTTGGGGCACCAGGGAGCAGTGTGGGGTTAAGGGTCTTGCTCAGAGACCCAGACTGGCAGTCTGTGGCAGTGGGGTTTAGACTCCAAACATCAGGATTCCGAACTCTATGCCCTAACCACTAGGCCGCCACTCACCTTTTTTTTTTCTTTTTTTTTTTAATAATTAAAAACAATGCTGTTCTTTGTATTAAATCATATTTATCATGTTAATGGAATCAAAGTGTACTACTTTTACTGTCCTGAAGGCATCCCTCAAGGTTCCATTCTTGCACCAGTTGTGATTACACAATATATTAAGAATTTACTCAGTGTCAGAAGTTATTTCACCACATGACCTAAAATTCCCAGAACACATTTTTGACTGTGTCATGATTCCCATCAAAGACTGGTGATCTAGCATTACCAATAGTTTTGGTAAGGTGAAAAGTTCCAATGCATAAAAAGCTAATGGCATAAAAAAAAACAAATTTATTTTTTTTAAAAGTTGTAAAAAACACAATTTGTATAAACACAGAATACTGTAAAAGGACTGTAGTCTATATTTGAGAGTGTAAAAGAAATATGGATTCCAGACCCAGGGAGCTGAATCCAGAACATTAAAGCCTGTTGGCCTTCATGTATTTGAAAACTCTAGTTACGACCAGACCAAGACAACTTCTTTTTATAGAGGACTTGCATGCAAAGTGTTCTTGTTCAAAGTAGCTGTAATTTAATGGGGATAGGCTGGTTAGAGAGTGATCAGTTAATTCTTAGATTAACATGTAGTCAGAGAAAAGAAGCCAAGACAAAAATTGCAGACATATCTGTCAACAGTGAGCTCATTTTGGATTATCAGTTAATGCATTTTAATAAACTGCTTTAATACAAAGCTTGAATAATAATCCAGTCTAAGAGGCATAGCAGCATATGTTTACTTTTCTCAATACTCTATTGAAGATGCGTCAGGAACGAAAGACAGCTCAAAACATATTTATTTGTTGATGATCAACAGAAGCCATGTAATGAAATTCCACCCTTGTTTGTACCTTGAGATTTGGAACAATGAGCTTGGTTTCATCGGACTTGATAAAACTAGTCTGTAAATTCAGTCGATGATGAGTCTTCCACTGCTAATGTAGCTAATACTGGTTATTATTATCGAACAGGGGCTTATGTGGAAATCATATGGGCTAAGAGCATAGACATTACTGTGACTTAATGACTATGAACCAGATTCTTAAAGATGAAATGAAAAAAAAAACATAAATGGGATGTCATCCAGATGATATATGGAGGGATAAAAGAATTTCCTTAGAACCTTTTTAAGCATGGCACAAGTTGTTTTCCTTGACAAGCGCTTTGTGTGTTGGCATCATTTGTGTAATATTGTGTTTGCAGCATTTTCCATTTTACTGCTCTCTATTTTCTGTGTTTGCATCTTGACTCCTTTGCTGGATATCTTTCTTTGCATATGTTTTTGTGCATTAGTCTACCTTTTGAGTTTGTAGGAATTTTTTTAATTTTGTGAAATGATGTAGTTGCATAGATTTACCACTCGTCTGCCACCGAATAAACAGCATTGTAAAAAAATAAACACTGAAATGTAATATGTGTAAGACTGACTACATAGAAGATAATGCATAAAAAAAAAAAGAAAATAATGGGTACAGTGATTCAAGCCATATAATTTCCTTACCCTAACTTATTTCCCTGGAATTTTAAATCCAGTTGAATTTTCCTAACTAGAAGGTTGACATTCTGATTTCCGAGGACAAATGAATGAACCATTATTACTCTTCCTAGAACGACATAGACTTTTTATTTTAACTATGTAGCACAATTTCACAGCAAATATAGATTTCAAAGCAGATAAGCTAAAAGAAAAACATTGTTTTCATTTACAATTACCGTATACAAAAATGAATCAAAATGAAACCAATATAATCAGTCATATAGATTTGATTCAGTGTTACACAGTTTAAAATGACCCTTAATTTGCTGCAGCACAACTTCCTTTAGTCACTTTCGCATGAAAAACAGAGTGATTTTAACTTTACCCTAAAGATTTTAACTTATTGTACACTGTATGATGTGATGGTTTCAAAGGTAGGCCGACTCCACTCTGATGTAATGCTTTAGGCGGTAAACAGAGAATCAACAGTAAAGCTTGAAATCAAGTGATTCAGTTATGAGAAATTGGTAGGACTACAACTAATTGGAAGTTTCTAAAGAAGGGAAGTTGCTTTTTTGTAATAGCTTAATATTCCAAGAATATTAAGCGGGTTCCCAGCTGATGACCTCTGAGTGACCCTACTGTACATTTCTTTATGCAACTGACAGGTTGTTTATCTTTGATTAAATTCACATGGAGAAAACTCAATAACCTGTTGACACATATAAACACCATAACCTAGTTAGAATAACTAAGTTAAACAGTTGCTCTGATCAGGAGGACTTGATGAATGTGTTTCAAAGTAGCTGAAAGCTTTCTGTTCCACCCCCCCCCCCCCCCCCCCCCCCCTATCAAACCTCAGATAAAAATGATATGATCTGTTCTGTAGTTTCTTACACATTTAAAATCAGTTGAAATAATATTTCAGGATCCTAAATAAATCAATTTAAATACAGAGAGAATGCTGATTGTTTTTAATCAAAGGACATTAGACAGTAAGGTGAGTTTCAGTTGTGTTTCAGCCAAGGATCGGTGCTCCTAACAAAACAATGTGTCCTGTTTTGTCTTTTTCCAGAGAATGATGTGATTGAGGAGACCAAACACAGCTACCACAAGGACTTCTCTCAGATCAGTCAAACTCATAAGAAAACACATTCCCACACAAGACAAAAGAGAAGCATCGGTGAGACCCATTCAGCTGCCTTATTGGGCCAAATTATTCTGCTCTTCAAGAGTGTTCAAAATGGTGTTTCAACTAGAAAAGATTGAAATAATTTCAAGTCTTTTCCTCTGCAGAGGTGGAAGAAGCGGTGCCGGCCATCTGCAAAGTGCGCACAATGGTATATGAAATACCCAGGAGTGAGGTGGACCCCACCTCAGCTAACTTCATCATCTGGCCTCCCTGTGTGGAAATCAAACGCTGCACAGGCTGCTGTAACAAAAACAACATGAGATGCCAGGCGGTGCGCAAACACTACCGTACTGTTAAGGTAGAAAGTCAAGTAATTTATCTTCTTTATTCTGTCCTCTTTTTGTTATGTACAATCAGCTTGGATTAGGCACTAAAATAGCCTACCCTTAATAAATGGCATCTATCTTGGATGTGGTGGATCTGCTGTTAGACACTTATTCACTATTAGAGGAACTGTAATCTCATAATATACTTTCTATTTCTAAAATTTTGACAATTATTTTTGCAATTTACTAGTTCATTATCATATTGTTTTGGCTTTATTCTCCCAATGTTATGAACTTATCACCTAATTTAAAAGAAAATACAGGCAGCCTGACCCTAATATTCAGTCATGGAATAAGGCCAGAACTCTGAAATGGAAACGGTATAACTATTCTACTGATGACTTGACTTTATTGTCATGAAGTTTTGTCTCGTAATAATTAAGCTATTCTGAAATATATTGACTTTGGTCTTGTTTGTTTTTTTCGCAATACTGATTTTTTTCCCTCATACTATTAGTCATTTTAGTCATGTTATAAAAAATAATATGTGCTACTAATACTCTATTGTAGATCTCTGTTTATAACAGATATTGAAAGGTTCATTAAATAAATTAATGAAGAACACAAATGTTTAGATTAAACTGTTTCCGATCAATTTCTTAAAGCTTTATCGTTGGGAAGCCCACAGAGTATAAAAATGTATGGAGTTTACTCTAGTGTGTAGAATATGTTATTTTTTTGTATGGTGGTTTCCCTGAAGGAATTTGCATTATGACACACAGGAATTTACTCAGTTTGCACCAAAGATGGAAAATTCTGTTTGTTAAATGAAGTCATTATAGGAAAATACTCTCATATGTATTTTTCCATTCTTAGGGGTAAAGGGTAATGCCAGCAGATTTGATTTGTACTTTAAACCATTTGTGCATTTCCATGCTGCACTAAAAAGGGGGAGGCGGCTGTAAAGCCTGGCTGCCCTCTAGGCTTACAATACACCTGTTAAAAATGAAACTCTTCGCTAGTTTTTTACTAGCATCAGAGGCCATTCCCTACTACCTAAATGAAAAAATCTACAAAAGTGATTTTAGCATAAACAACTGACTCTTTAGGAAGTGTTTGCTGCAAATTCTGTAACTAGCTTGTTCCAGCTCTGTCTCTTCATGGCAGCTGCCCATCTTACTCACCTTTCTGGGTCTTTAGGGAACCAATAAAATCAGATGCTGTCCTTTCTTCCTTGTCGGTTGGTACAGCCGTATGATGAGCAAGAGGTTAAACTGTTTCTCTTGGTGTTTTCAAGGTAATATGGAGGAAAAAAACTGCAATAGCTGCTGGTTTTGTTTTTGTAGTTTTCCCAGAAGCCAGCGTCCAAAGAGGCATCTATTTATTCATGTCTATGCCTAAGGATTCATCCAAGGCTGAAGAAAAAACCCAGAAAATATCTAAATAAATAGATACAATCTGTAAATCTATTCAAATAATTTAAATAAAAAACTTATGGTGGGCTAAAATAAAATTCTAAGCAACTGTATAAGATTTAATTGTTCCCATTTTTTCTTAACATTAAAGATGACTGCACTAAATCTGCAGCAAAGATTATTCAATTTGATTTAAGTCTGTCTTCTTTACATATAAATATTACTGTGTTCTTCCCTCCTATTAAAGTGACTGCCATTAACACACAGTTATAGTCACAGAATATGCTTTCATATTTTTTTAAAACTCTAAATATTTTTCTACTGTCAGGTACAATAGGATCCTGTTACTTGTCCACTGATGGCATCAACTCAAGTTTTATGCAGACAGACCCACACAAATCAAATTGAGATATAAATATATGGCCCTTTTACCGGAGGTAAACACTCCAAATGTGCCAAAAGTAATTACCGTCATTCTAGTTGAATCAATGTGTGTGTGTGTGTGTGGATGTGAGATTAGGAGTGTGTCTACCGATGCTTGACTTTCTGCCAATAAGTTTGTTTATGAAAATGGTAGCTTTCAGAGCAGGTTAACAGCCAAAGGCGTTGAAATGGGAGATGACCCAATAGAGAATGAGCGTTTGTGTATTCTCTACTCAGAGGAAGATGATGGGAAGCAATGTTTAAGGGTTCATAGGAATTAAATCTGTTTCTGATCTTTACCAACTGACTAATAGAAGTGGAGTTTTGGAGACTTTTTTGAAATATTTGATGAAACAATACGCTGGAAGGCAGGTTTTGAGTGTTTTAGAGAGGCCAGAGGTTGGGAAGCACAAAGAAGAGGAGAATTTTCTATGCTTTAGAAAGCCAATCTCAGATGAAAGGACTCGTTCTGTCTGCTCACAGAGGAAATCAAAAATAAAGTCACTCACATGTGCTGAGATTCAGCTTTAAGAGGTTAAACGGTCACAAATGCATCCCCTTTCACATACAGCCGAAGGGAAAGCAGGAGAATCCAGGCTTTCCACATGGAAAACAAAAGCACTGGAGAAACCTAATAATAAAGATAGATAGATAGATAGATAGATAGATAGATAGATAGATAGATAGATAGATAGATAGATAGATAGATAGATAGATAGATAGATAGATAGATAGATAGATAGATAGATAGATAGATAGATAGATAGATAGATAGATAGATAGATGGCATTTTCAATGGATGACAATCAAAAACTCTTTCTTGATGATTTAATATCTACTTTTATCATGCAATAATCTGCTTTTAATTATTAGATAACTTAATCTTTTGTATCTTCATTCAAATTTGATTCGATTTGACTTAACAGATAAACTGCACTTTTTCTAGTCTTTGATTAGTGTGAAAATATAATAAAAAAAGACGTAATGGATAAAAAAGCCCAATTATGTAAAATACACAGTTATTAACAACATGCTCTGTGCCCTGCAGCTTTTGATGTTGATGTGCTATTTGCCTGAGAGCTTCTCTCCATAATGTTTATTTAAAGGTTGCAAGGAGTCCCTGACAACGTTCAGCGTTGTGTTCCCATAACTCTGCACAGAGGAGACAGACTATTCTGTCACCTTGGTTCATCATGTGCTTTACCATGTTTGCACTTAAAATATATAATAAAGAGCACATGCTCGCACAAAGTTGGCATACCTACTTATGGAAAACCATAAAAACTTAATTAAATTTTTTTTTCCCCCACTTCCAGACTTCCATTGTCTGTACTTGCTTATCCTCCAGGGTCTCCAAGGGTTGGGTGTGATCTGTTACCAACCTCCAGCACTCACTCAAATTTGTTACATTGAATCTTTTTTCTTAAAAGGTAATACATAAATTTATGTTGTTTTTTTCCCCCATTGATACAATAATTGATTGTATGACCTCCTCAGCAGGAAGCAGGTGCTGCAGAAACTCATTCGGTTGGGAGACAACTCAAGGAGACAACTCAAATATGAAGGACAGTGGGAATTCAGGAGACATTTTAGGAACCAGTGACGTTTAGAAACATTTAAGATTAATTTCATATAGAAAAGCAGAAAATTGTAGTTCAATGCAAAAGTAAACTGTACTGAAGATACTAAACACTAATTTTTAAATAATGTTTTTTTTTTATTATTTTATAAAAGATTCTTTTTTTCTATCTAAATATAGAAGGGGGCTGCAGAGTGGTGCAGTTGGTATCACTGCTGCCTTGGTTCTGGGTTTGAGTCCCAGTCCTGGGTTTTTCTGCATGGAGTTTGCATGTTCTCCCTGTGCATATGTGGGTTCTCTCCAGGGACTCCGGCTTCCTCCCACAGTCCAAAAGCATGACTGTTAGGTTCATTGGCTTCTCTAAATTCTCCTTAGGTGTGAGTGTGTGTGTGAATGGTTTTTTGTGTTGTTTGTCTCTGCGTTGCTTTGCAATGGACTGGTGACCTGTCCAGGGTGGACCCCGCCTCTCACCCATTGACCGCTGGAAATAGACACCAGGAGCCCTCGCGACCCCAGCAGGGATAAGCGTGATGAAAAATAGATGGATGGATGGAAATATAGAAGGTGTGGAAGTTTTCGTCCACACTCTCAATTTCATATTTTGTATGATACTTGCATTTGATAATTAAGAAAAAGTCCTCAGTCCTCCTGTCTGTTGCTGCCATATGCAGGGGTGACTGCTGATGCTCTAGGGGAGTTTCTCATTCTGCTGGATCCTGTCACCTGGGAAGTCAACACTTTATCCCTGTATTAGTATTACAGTAAAGTTCACAACACTGGTTCGAATCAAATTTGACAAAAAATCAGGTGCTATGATGTAATGTAGACTAATGTAGAAGTGTCTGTGCCTATTGGCCAACACTGTGACCCATGAGCGCATCTGACTGTCACGTAGTAAGCGCGACAGAAAGCTGGTGGGGCAGTGTAAACAAACAGTCAGTGGGTAAAACGTTGAATGCATCCTTTTTAAAAATGAATGAGCGTAGAGGCTCTTCCTGCTCACGTTTCAATGAAAACCCCAAGTCTAATCCTTCCAAAATTGATTCCAAAGCTGAGTCAACGAGAACTGTTCAATAGTTGTTGCCATCTTCCTTGTTGTACTTTCTCCAGCGTCGCGCAGCTTTATTGTCCCGCCCTCAAAACCCGCCCACTTTGCATCCAGAAATTCAAAATTTATCTCTGTCGTGATTGGCCAGCCAGTTCTAGGGCCTGAGGCATTAATCGAGGCTAGATCATTCGCAGGCAAAAATGATTTTGGCCGCCAGCGGGTGGGGCTAGTTTACTAGGCTACTGACCTATACAAAAATTTGATGCAAAAGTCAAGAGTCAGATAGTAAGAAAGACACCGAAGCAAAGCGAAACATCATCAGCTTTGGCGAAATTAAAACTAAGATGGTCAAATCGTGACAAAACCTAACTTGTAATACAAATATCTAAATGTTTACCAAATAGGTTCCCCCTTTACCCAAATACACCCCTATATAGTTAAAGATATCAATGGGATTATGTAGACTCGGACACAAGCAAGGGGTGTTTTGGTCTGAATTTAGAGGAGATCTTCTGTTAAAGGTTGAGCAGGTTTTTGCATTTCTTCACTGGTACGTTTGCTGAAATTAATCCTTGGTAATAGTAAAGTCCCTTAAGTTGGAAGGCTTCCCAACATGCAGCAGGAGCAGCTAGTTTACTGCAAAGTCAATGGTTGACATGCATCAAGGCGCAACGTGTGTGTGTGTGTGTGTGTGTTAAAATCTGTGACCGTGCTCGTCACGTTTTGCTTTTACATGTCTTTATGGCATTTCAATGCAGACATGCCAAAACATCAGCAGAGTACTGTACACATCTTCACGATAAAGAGTTGAGTGGTGCTTGAAAATAGATCGGTTATTACATAATATTGCTTTTGTATGAATGTTTTACAGGCATTTCAGACGTAAGCTTAGCCTCCAACTAGTGACAATGTTTTTGAATGACTAGTACTGTGCATAGCAACAACTGCATGTCTCAAAGATTAACAATTCATTACTTAAGAGAAATGTTGGCAACACACCACAGTAGTAGAAGGACTAGTTTAAGTGGGTTCCTAGTCTGTGTGCTCACTTTGTGAGTACTGTACAAGTGTTAACATTTAAAATACATGCTTTGAGGTTTGGCTCGTCTGATTTTTTTCTGGGTTTTATGATTTTTGCCTATGTCTGGTCTGCAGTCACCTATGTGTTTTAATGGATGTTTAGCGGTATACCAAATGTGTTTTCATGGACATGCATGGTGAACCATCGACATGTTTTCGTGGATGTGTTGGTGTGCTGTCACCATTGGTTCCGTTCAAGGTGCGCAGTCACTATTTTTCGGTGTGTGATGGGTGATCATATACTAATGAGAATTGCATAATTGTATCTTCTTGGCTGATTTATGGAACTGTCACCGTATCCTGAACCTTTATCTCATGTTGTACTTCATATGGGGCCCACCCAGATAAAGTTGCTTATGGGCCTATTGTTTTGTCGTTATGCCACTGTGTCAAAATAAAACTTGTACAAGCATCAAAAATGAAGCAGCACAAGCATTTTTGCTGCTCTTGCTGCTTGAGGTTTGAAAGACAAAAGAGTGTTTTATAACTCACAGTAGATATTATTCAAATAGACAATGCACATACTTCCACATGCACAGATTAGAGTTAAACACTATTTGTTTATTACAGTTTAGCACTCCTTAGCCCATGCTGCACAGGGGAGAGAGCCATGTTGCTTTCTTTACTGGTACTAAAGTCTGGGTTTTAAGGTCATGTCTTTAATGTGATTTAACACTGTTTTTACATGAAATATAGTTCACTATTTAAACTTTTAAACTTTGCTTTAGAATACTGCAGCTTCTGACAGCTTTTTTTTTGTTGTTTTAAAAACATCCTCTGCAGAACACCAGGGCTTACCTTTCAACACGGTCTCATTCTTGCACAGCCTCTCACCTCAGCCGAACCTCTTTTGTCCCTTCTTCAAGCCTAAGCCTGGCTGTTTGTGAATTTGTTCAGACTTGAAACAGAGACTCTTTTGCAATCAGTCCTAAAGCTCCACCAATGCAGGGGAGTGAATGTGAAGCATGCAGACTTTATGTAACTGCTTTACAACTAGATTACTGTGTACACATGTTGAACAGCTACTGCTTCAGCAGCTGAGCGCCGACATTATGCATGTGTGTTGACACTGAAACCAAGCTTCTTGACCTTGAGTAATTAATTTATCCAAACAAAGGGAGACACACCCATCTGTTTGCATAGTTCTGTGTGATTTAAAAAAGTAAAGGGAAATTTGTGAGTAAAGGAAGTACCTCAAGCTAATGTGTTTTAGCCTAATCCAGAATGCTATCATTTAGATCATAGAAAACAAAAATACCTGCAAGTTTATATGCATAGGCTTCAGCTTGCTATGTAGGACAGATTTTTATGCTGTACCTGTTATGATTTCCTTAGTTGGCACAAGACAGTCTACATTCTTTATAGAGATTTAATACCACATATGCATGAGGATATTTCCTCAAAAACTGTTTAGATCATTCAAAAATCTAGAGATTTATGTAAATTAGCTTTTTTTAAAGTGTAAAAAATATCTTTTTGGTCCATAAAGTGCTTCATTTGATCAAATAATCTTTCTTTGTAAGACAGTAGTTAGCTAAACAATTCTATATATTCATCCTAGATTTCATTAAAGAAACTTAAAATAAAACTTTCAGTACGCTAATTTGTGGGGGTTTTTTTTGGATTAAAATAGATTTTTTTCTCCTAATTCTCTATTATATCTGTTTCAGGTGGCAAAGGTGGAGTACGTACGGCGTCAGCCTAGACTGCGGGAGGTGGAGGTGACACTGGAGGACCACTTAGAGTGCATGTGCAGCAGCAGACGGCACTTCAGCCAAAACCAAGACAGAGAACATGGTGAGCTTGCAGATCTACATGCATTTGTTCTATTCCCTCAATTGTTCATTGTTCAGTTGAATATATGGCAGTCAAGCTAAAATTAAATATTGAACTAAAGACTTTATTTCTGCAGGTCTCTCTGCTCTGTGGTTACAATTTTAAAGATATGTGGCCAAAAAACTAACATTAGAAGCATTTACCACCTAATAAAAATAACCCATTCTTTAAACTGCATATGAAATTCTTATTTGTTATTTATTATTGATTATCTTATCCTTGCATCACATCAAAGCTTCCCATAAACCATGATCTGTCAGAAAACAAAACTTTTAAATGATCCTCATTGTGATCATGCTAACTCAAAATTAGATTTTCCCTCTGTACCTGCTTCCCTCTCGGGAGCAGTGCAAGGGTTGTGCATGTGTATTTTTTTTTTAAGTGGAGAAGGCAGGTGTTGTGAAAATCTTTCACTTTACCTTTAGAAAAATATATATATTTTTATTATCTTGTTTTACATTTTGCCATTATAATTCAAATAAATGAACAAAAATAGATAACTTTCCAATACTTTTGGTCAAAAGGCCAAAAGTGAAAAAACAATTGCTAGAAAAAAAAAAATATATTTTTTTTTAAACCAGGGTCAATGCCTACAACCAGCATAGGCTGACATGATAGTTTTACTTATCACATGATCTAACAAAAAAAAACTGCCATTGGAATATGAGTTTCTTTGTAGTGTGTAACGAATAAAGCAATGCATGATCTCATCCATTCTTATACTCACAAAGACTTTTCTTTGATCAGGTATCAGGTGAAGAGATGCAGTGGAGGGGACACAACCGCTTCCGATGTCTTTGTCACCGCCTGCTGTGGAAGGACACATTTTATAGAAGCTTTGTGACCTGTGCCAAGAGGAATACGTGACCCATTTAAAACTGAAGTGTACACTTAAGAGATTGCAATAAACAGCTAAACTTTCAAACCCAGAGAGGTACCTGAGACAAAATGAATATTTCTCCATGAAGGAGGGCAATGTTTGGACCCCTGAACTTCAAAGAACACATTGCTTATGCTTTTCTCCTCCACCTGAGTGATAACTCCTTAGCATTGAAGATCAGCTCCTGGTTGGCAACTTTTCTTCTACAGACACACAGACTCCATCAATTGTTCTTTTTTTTTTCTCTCTGTTGCAAATACAAGGTATTCAAGTCAATGTTGTCATTCCCACTGACCCCATGGCATTGCAGAACAGGGGAGAGTCCTTCTTCATTGTTCGCCAAAGATAAGAACAAGTTCATTTTATGAAAACAGACATCAGAAAAACAAAAAGAATCCATTTCAAAATAAAAAGGAGGGCTTTCCGTAAACATGAACAGGTCCTGTGGATTGGCAGGTGACGTACGCAGAACTCAGACAGTGGCAACTGTGGGAGCTGGGATGAGGTTTCATACTCCATACTCCCTCTTCTGGTAAATCATTCATGTATAACCCCCGATTTTTATGATCTTTTAATGCTGTTTGTTTTCTACTTCTGATACATTTTATCCATAAAAGATGGAAGCAGGATTTTACTTAAGCAAATAAAGATATTTATATGAAACACAGTTGGTGTCGTTATATAATAGCATCAGTTTTAAGGTTCTTGAACTGCAACCAAATAGTTTTAAATTATTGGCTGAGGGATGACTGTCAGTCATTATAGAAGTCATCATAAAAGTTATTCTACTGGTAAAGCTGCACCATATTCTAACCACAACCTGATGCCAGTGCTTACAGTAACAAAATCACTGAAGGGTTGTAATTTTGCTTGTATGCCATTAGGGAGGACATCATATTTCCAGGGAAATGCAGTCAAAATATGCATGTCAGTTGGTATATAATTACTGGCTGAGAGGCTAAACTTAATGGAAAATGGTGGTGAAATTACAATGATATCAAAGAAATGATATAATGAAAGAAAAAGGAAAAAAGAAAAAGGAAAATCATATTTTATAACAGAATTTAAAACATCACTGCAATATTTGGCAGTATATATTTTCTTGATTTCCATATGGTAACATATGGAAACTGGTCAATGTTTGCTTTAGGCAGACATGTAGGAAGGCAATCAAGGAAAAAATAGTGGTGGGGGTCAACATAAAAGAACTCCAAGCCAGCGGCTCGATCGGTTGTTTTTTAATAAAGCTGAAATAGCTTATTGGGAAAAAAAAGACATTTAATGTTTTAAATTAACTGTTTAACTGCATTGTTTGTTGGACCTGAAGTCTTCACAGTATCACATGAATTTTGTCTTTTCCACAAATTCTTGATATTTTTAAGTTTAATGTTAATCACTGCTTCTTCAGGCTTTCTGAAGCTCTAGTTTGTTTCCACTTTAGTCCTCTACATTTGACTCACTCTGACAGGCAGCATGACATTGCCAATGTTTGGTCACTGCCAGTGTTTAAGCGATGGGTGTGCAGGGATCCAACATTTTTAAAGACCAATGATTATCATTTTAAACTATGGTCTTCAGCAGACAGATTTCCAAGACCTAGTTTAAATGTTTCGGGCAAACGGCGTAATTTCTGAAAAATATAATATCAGAAACCAACATGTGCTAGTCCTTTTGTACACACAGGATGTGTACAAAACGAAAGAGGAGCCCCGATGATGTTCTCTGCAGTTCTCACTACTCTCCTCACCTTCTTCCAGTCTGCAGCATTGCAGCATCCACACAACACAGTGAGACAGCTGGTCAGAACGAACTCTATGGTGCTTCTGTAGAAGCTCGTGAGGATTGGTGGGGGCAGGTGGGCTTTCTTCATCTTCCCTAGAAGTTACAAGCACTTTTGTGCCCCTTTGACCAGTGAGGTGCTGTTTACAGTCCAGTTGAGGGTGTCTGTGATGTGAACCCCAAGGAAGCCCTGAGGGAAGCCTGTGCTTAGGGTGATGACATCAGAGGTTTTCAGAATGACTGAGGTCTGTCTGTGATGAAGTCTTGCAGGCAATTGGAGGGGGCTGTATTGAAGCCCATCTGTTCCAGTTTACCAATCAGATGCTATGGGATGATGGTGTTGAAAGAGGAACTGAAGTCAAGGAACAGATACCACACTTGGGTGTTCTTCTCCTCTAGGTGTGCTAGGCTCAGGTGAAGAGCGCAGGGAGGTGGCGTCCTCAGTGGAGCGGTTCCGTCAGTAGGCAAACTGGAATGGGTTAAATGTTGGCAGCAGACTGGAGACAATGTTGTCTCTGCTGATATGTTGCAGTGTTTTACCTACTGTAACATAAGTTTCCTTGGCTATGTTTTTTAGTAATGATCTATTCTTTGACTAAAAGTTGTTAGTCCTCCATCTTAGGAAATCCAACAGGCAGGTTTGCATTTTCACTGAGGTGGATGTGTTTTTACTTTGTCATGGCTTCTGAAATCCTTTCTTAGTCATTAGATTTCCCTATATTTCAGTGCAGGTCCAACAGTTTAAAACATCTTCTATATCTTGATCGGAGCACCAAGCTCGCAGTCGAGGAGATGGATTTGAATGGTCCAGTATACTTCAGCGTGTTTTAATTGCTACAGACATCAGAATGCAGGACAACATAATTTGTCATATTCTATCCAAAATGGGATCCAGTTTGTTTTAAGTATTACGTTAAAATAAAAGTATTGAAGCATCGACTTCTTTCTCCTTTTAATCTCTCTGAAAATCTGGTGGTGGAGACTTATTAGCTGACTTACAGCAATTATGGTCACAGATCTGCCCAATCTTGTACAAAGAGTCCATAGAAAAGAAAGCTCATTCTAGAACCTACTCCTGGACTTCTGCTGGTGGGAACTCATCACTCAATCATTCAAAACCCTGAATTTAGACTGGTAACCCAGCAGTAAGGGGAGAGTGACTCCCATCTGACCATCGCTTTTGGATCTACTAGGGCATTGACCATTATCTAAAGAATTATTACTGGTGGCCTGATTTATCTGCCTGTGTATTGTTGATATAGCTCCAGTCATATACCACAAATACTTTGGACTTCTCTGTAGCTTTGAAAGTATTAAATGCAACAAAAACAAAAGCTTTAAGCATTAAGATTTTTAATGAGTGTTGTGTAAATTTAACATTCAGAGTTTAAAACTTGGCTCTTAACTAAACTCTGCAGGCCAATATGGGTCTGCTGTTTGGCCTGGAATCTGTGCTTCCATACAGCTTGTAGCCACCTCTAATAACTGTTTCAGGCATTGCTTTCCATAACAAGCATCAGTGGTTGACTAGATTTACTTGAATGGTAGAGTGGTGAAAACTTACATAACTCTGTTGGCATATTGGAGGAGGTAAACCATCTAGAAACACTAGCCAGCAGTCTAACCAGACTGAATCTCTGGAGTAAATACATCAATTTTATGATTTGGTGGTTCTGTGTGAGCTGAACAAAGAGAACTCTGTTGAAAACACATTTTTTAAGTTTTGATCTGCTGTCTTTTTTGCTGTTTTCCCATAACTTTGTTCAAGTAAACGCATAAACCAGACAGGATCATGTGAACACGAATCACCAAAGCAGCTCATTTTTATGAGTGAGGGAACAGTGAGGGAGAGGAGACAGATGGGGATAAGACTGTAACAGTGTCTGTAAGGTGAGAGGGAGGAAATGAAAACAGAAAAGATGGACTACAGTGAGTGTGTGTGTGTGTGTGTGTGATAGACTTTAAAACAGTGTTAGTGTGTCTTTGTGTGGGTAGGATGGGATAAAGAGCAGGTTTGTGTGTGGGTGTGTGTTTATGGGTGAGCAGCACAGGGGGAAACTCCATCTCACTAAAGCTCCACTAAGCAGATTAATAACAGGCCAGATAAAATGTCAAATGTTCTGCAGGTCAAGCACAACCTGATATAGACTGAAAAACGTCCAACTCAACCCTTTTAAAGCACAGATTTCAGCTCCAATTACAGAACCTTCCTACCTTCATATTTTTCACAGTCTTAAATTTTTTAAAGTAAATCTGTTTAGAGGTCAATAGGTCTTTTTTGTGGATAAACACGTTTAGGCGTTTGGTTGCGGATCTTGCACAGCAGATCTAGATAAGAAGAATCACCACAAATCTCATATGAGGAGTTACTGCATAAGATATAACAAGATGATACACTCCTTTAACTTTTGAATTCAATTAAATTAGGATTTTTAAGTATTTATTCATTCCTATATAAGTAACACAATAAATATTTCAATTACATTTGGAAAACAAAAGTTGTCAGGTTTCAATTCACTGCATTTGCATTTGTTTTTATTAAATACACAGCCAGATTTGCCTTGTTATTCATCTCCTGACAGATTCCTTGCCTTTTTGTCACATTTAAGTGTTCCATAAAACAGATTTACATTTAAGTGAAAATAGTTGACCTTTCTAGCGTTTACCCCACCTCTCGCCCATAGACAGTTAGAGATAGGCACCAGCACCCCTCGCAACAGCAGCTGGAATAAAGTATGGGAAAATGGATGGATGGTTTTAAGTTGAGGTACAGCTTGCTTATGGCTTACCAATATGAGTGTTTTTTTGTGTGGGATTTAAAATCATGCACAAGAAATTAAACGACAGCATCCAATCTTACTTTTTTTTATCACAAAGGACAGCTTAACTTTATTCTGCACACACTTACCTAAAAAATTGGGACTGGGTGAAGTCTCAGATGTGACTGAGAGATGGATTGACGGAGAATTTTGTTATTTGCAGAATGTGATGCTTTTCCAATACCAGAGCTCTGTTTGCTTTTATTTTATCATTATTACTGTTCACCTTTAAGCAGTGTTGGGCACGTTACTTTGAAAAAGTAATTAGTTATAGTTACTAGTTACTTCTCCCAAAAAGTAACTGAGTTACTAACTGAGTTACTCCACAATAAAAGTAACTAGTTACTAGTAAAAGTAACTATTGCGTTACTTTTGCGTTTCTCGCCCCCGTAAACCTCACCACCCAGCCCCCACCTTCTCGCCGTGTGTTTCCAAAGCCAGCTGAATAGAGAGGACGACAAAGACAAGAACCTGCAGACAGTTTAGCATTTATTGCAACTCAACGTAAATGACATCAGGGGGAACGCGATGTGAAGTTTTATAACAGGACATTCAGATCTGGTGAGTATATGAAATTAATAACTGGGGATGTCTAATTCTGAAATCCTGTGTGTTTGGGTTGTTATAGATACTGCAACATCTATCTATCTATCTATCTATCTATCTATCTATCTATCTATCTATCTATCTATCTATCTATCTATCTATCTATCTATCTATCTATCTATCTATCTATCTATCTATCTAGATGTATACTCTGTGTGTGACATAAAATATGGATCTCCATCCCTGCCACAAAGGCCATCAAATAATGTTTAAAATAAAAAATACAGTAGGTTGAGAAGGCAGAGCATCCATCCATCCATCCATCCATCCATCCATCCATCCATCCATCCATCCATCCATCCATCCATCCATCCATCCATCCATCCATTCATCCATCCATCCATCCATCCATCCATCCATCCATCCATCCATCCATCCATCCATCCATCCAGATTTCTCCCTTTCTCCATATAGGCTATCATTTCTGGCTGTTGTCAGGTTCATTTGATCGTTCACGCTCTCC